ATTTGCGCATTACTCTTTTGAGTTTTTTTTTTGGATTGTCTATCGTTCCACTTAATTTGTAATTAAAAGAAAATTAGCTTGGAACAAAATAAAGTCTTACAGATTGCTAACTGTCGGGTGTTTCCCGAGCGCTATGACATGTCCTTCTTCAAACGAGGCTTGTAGGGAGTATTAAGCAGTAGGCAGCGGCTCGGCTCTGCTCCTGGCATTGCTGAAGTCCATGGGCGACGGTAACCACTTACCGTCAGGAGGGACGTACGCTCGTCTGTCTACAAAGGCAATAAAAAAACCAACTGTAGTTTAAATTACTTCTATTCGTATTGAATAATATAGTACGCAATAGTACAAAATTACCGCTTACAATAACATCGTTCTGCTATTTCCTCTGTGGAATCCCGTTCAGCGTTGTGATGCAGATCATGAATCTATTCACTATATGAAACAATAGACTTTTGTAGGGGAATTAAGTCGCTGGGAACGACCAGGTCACATCATCATACTCTATGCTTTATACGGCAATTTCTTTTTTATGTTCATTTTCTAAGGCACTGGATACATTCTATGAGTTGGTACTAAAATAATACAAACTAATAGTTGTAAGTCACGAACGCACAGAAGAAATTTAAAGGCTTATTTCATTCAGAAGACACTATGATTGGCGTCATCTATCTTCTATATATATATAAAAATGAATTGCTGTTAGTTAGTCTCGCTAAAACTCGAGACCGGCTGGACCGATTTGGCTAATTTTGGTCTTGAATTATTTGTGGAAGTCCAGAGAAGGTTTAAAATGTAGATAAATATGAAAATGCTCGGAATTAAATAAAAATGACAATTTTGTTTTTCCTTTCATGTATTCCCCCGTCGGACGGATTCCTTTTGTTATAAGTTTATTTTATATAAAAGTTTAGGTATTTTATTTTATCGATTGAGGCACTACGAAGTCTGCCGGGTCAGCTATTTGGAATAAAATTAGGTGTCCAGTATGACGGTATGAATACGATATTTTAGAATCGTATTTCATGCAATTGTGCTTGTCAGCTATTCCATTTAACGGTTAATGACTTCTCAAAAGTCAAGCCTAAGCACTTCTTCAAAAGCAATCAAAGCATTCGCTGCAGTATTAACGTTGTGTGCTTCTTAATCGAAGCGTAGCGGTTTTGTTTTTGCACTCACATCGAGGTCATAGGCACGAAATGAGGCAAAAGCGTGGGAGTGCATCGACACTGCCAATCATTTACACCTACGATTACTCTTTTCTTCTTGCACTGCACATCGCTAATGAGGACCTAACGGTTTCAATTGTTTTTTTATTTATGAAATCCGTCCATTGCATAATTGAAATGAAACCAGCTATCGTCTCACGTTCGGCTTGCAATGGATAATTACCGAGGTGAACCGCATACGTTGAAACAGTAGTAGGCTATATCAAGATAAACATCGGCGTGTGCCGTTTTACCTACGAAATTTTCTTTGTACTAAGGTTTTGTTTGATGTACGCAATAACTTGAGTAATGTATGTATGTGTGCGTCTTGTTCAAGCAGTGAACCGTATTCCAAATTCTACCTTTAATTAACGGTATAAAAAACAATTTCGGTTTTATTGTGGCCAGATCATTTGACATGAGAATAGAGCAGCTAGAACACCAGACATAGACCTAGCTAGTAATAATTCCTATATAACTTAGAGGCTTAGATACGGGGAAGGAGGGTAGAGCTCTCCCTCATACCCAATGCTTGCGCTGATTACTCTTATTTTAATGAATTGAGGACTTAAACTTAAGCTATCAAAGTGAGTGATGGCATTCACTTTGAATGTATAGGTCCCGGAAGTCTTAACTTGATGTTACTACAGAAAATCCGAGATAGTCTTCGCATTGACGCTAGTAATATATTTAGAAATACTTTTCTAAGAACATTTCTTATCCTTGTATTCATATTGACCTAAGGTCGCGGCTTATACAGAAGATATATTTAAAGTGAAATTATATCGGACGTGCATGATTCATTGTGCGTTCGTAAATTTATTTCTAATGACACCGCTCAACGATGACACGGTTCCCTTTTTTATATATACATTAAGATTATTTTTTGCAGGCCCAAGAGAGTTTCGAAGCGAACCAACTTTCGAAATTTGTCGCAGAGCCAAATTGTGAAACAGTCAAGCCTCCCGACAGACAGACTACCAGTTCAGACATAAGGAGCACTAAAGTTAACGCGCTGAACATGGAAGTGGAAACGTTGAGATGGCAACTAGCGCAGGTGATTAAAATAACTTTCATGTTTATACAATCAAATTCCCGTATACATTTTGACTGCGAATTCCGGTGTACCATTAATAATTGTTATGAAAACAATGCAATGCGATATCGATTTGAGATGGCGTAGCGAATTGTTGATTTAACGGATATTTATATCTGCATGCAATCATTCAATCTTGTGTTTTGTTTTTTTTTCTTTTTTCTTTTTTGCAAATATTTGTGTGGTTTTCAGACTGAAGCAAATAGGCAGATGCACATAGCTTTATTGAGGCAGGTGGTGACGTTCTTGAGCAGAGTCAAGGAGCACATTGAAGGTCAGAAAACGGAAGGAGAAACGGAAGCCACAAGAATGAACAGGTCATTCAATGTCACCGACTTGCCACGATCTCGGTCCGTCTTGCACGTCAACAAGAACCTGGAATACACCCTGAGCCCTGTCAAAAAGATTAACTCGCGTAAAATAAGCAAGTCCATCAGTAATGTGAATGGATACAAAGACTGCAATGTTTGGTAAATATCTTAATCTAATTACCGTAGGGTTCGTAACAGATAAAGTTATCTAAAATTAATTTAAATTATTATTATTAATTATTATTATATTAAATATAATTAAGAGTAATCTCTTAACGACTGTCAGTATTAATGAAAATCTTCATTCATTCGCATTTGAATAGACAATATCAATTTACAGGAGTCAATCGAAAATGGCTTTGACGTCCGAAACCGAAACAGCTTTTAAGCTATCCGAAGAAATGTCCAGACTGATAATTCTTGCCAACACTGTGTTAAGCACAAAACTGCCTGATCTCGCGTGTAATTGTAATGATAATGAAGTGAATGGATCAAAGCAAACCGAAGACAACGAGGAGATATGTGAAAAAGAATCGAATGTTTCTGTAAGTAATACTTCTGTAGGTGGCGAAGATACGAATGCATTTGTCTTGAACACGATATGCGACAGCGAGGGAACATACGAAGGCATAACCAACAAATTCATTGAAACTAAAGATAAGGGTATAGCCGATTTCATAGTATCACCGTCACCGCTCACATGTGGCCTAGAAAAGGATTTCGCAGTCGTAAAGATTCAGGAAAAAGACAGCAAAAGAGAAACACGGACTACCAAGCCCCAAAACAGATTCGAAAAACGAAACGAATATAACGCTGTAAACTTCATTGAGGACGAAAGTGGATTCTCATCGATGAGTTCCTTTCAAGAGATCGGAATTCCTATAATAAGTATCATACCGCCGTCGCCTTGCAAAGAAGTCGGTTATATGACTGAGTTTGAAGATTTATTGCAAGGAAATGAGAACTGGAAGAGCGATTCCATTGAACTGGATAAGCAGGCCGTAAAAGTATTTTGGGTTTGATCAATGTACAAATTTATAGCTTCCTAATAATCTTTTTTAATGTATGTAACACGAGTAAGCTAGCAGGCATCTAGCAGTTTTATTAGAGTTTTGTGTACGGTTTTAATAAATAAATAAAAAAAAAACTGTAAAATTTTTGGAAGTGAATAGTCCAAATTTGTTGTCATAAAGAAAATTTCTCTGAAATTAATTTGCAGCCTATACATGCAACCAATTGTGTTGTCAATTTTTAGTATTAGTATTTATATTGCCTTAGAATAAGTTGACTAATGATTTTTTAACTTAACACATTTTGTACTTTGTCGAATATTACTGAAATAAAGTCAGATTTGCGTAATTTATTTGCCCTTGTGATAATCGTGTTAATGGCTGATCAATAGAGTTACCTTGACTATATCCGTTACGAAATTATAGGAAACCATGAAAGTAGCTATAATTCGATGACTTTGGTAGTAGTAACCTGCAAAAATTATAATTTTACGCAATTAGTGGAGGCTTAGCGTAGTTTGAGGCTGCACGGATTGATACCAAGATCCTGAGTGAGTGAGAGACAGTAAAGAGTTCCAGTTTGACAGCTGTTATAATATAATCCAATTGAGATTTCAACCTCCTTTTTCAAGGTAGGTAACGGTATTTACATCCTGATGTTTAAGTACTTCGGTGACTCTTTAATAGTAGGTGACTGGTCATCTTGTTTCTTTAAATAAAACAAAATAATGACCTTTAGTAATTTTTAGTCAAAATAAATCTTAAAGAAACTATTGAAATTAATTTTCCTTTCGAGACCTAGAATAAAAGAACACAAATGTGTATACTTTTTTATTTATTTTTATTGCTTAGATGGGTGGACGTGCTCACAGCCCACCTGGTGTTAAGTGGTTACTGGAGCCTATAGACATCTACAACGTAAGTGCGCCACCCACCTTGAGATACAAGTTCTAAAGTCACAGTATAGTTACAAAGGCTGCTCCACCCTTCAAACCGAAACGCATTACTGCTTCACGGCAGAAATAGGCAGGGGGGTGGTACCTCCGCTCGGACTCACAAGTGGTTCTACCATCAGTAATTACGCAAATTATAATTTTGCGGGTTTGATTTTTATTACACGATGTTATTCCTTCACCGTGGAAGTCAATCGTGAACATTTGTCGAGTACGTATTTCATTAGAAAAATTGGTACCCGCATGCGGACTTAGAAACCGGTGCATCGCTTCAACACGAATGCACCAGACGTCTTATCCTTTAGGCCACGACGAATAACTGTTAATACGAACATTTTCTATTATAAACTCTTTGTTTCGAGTAAAAAAAAAGTTCTGTCTGCGTAAAAAGGTTCTGTCAAAACATGACAGTAATCAAAAAGATAATGTAAGACAAAAAATTCAAAAATTGTTGAAAATCCCTAAATTTACGGTAAATATTAAAAATTTCAAGTACATCTCTTTTTAAAATTCTAAATTCCCTGTGAAAATGGCCGAAGAAGGCGACGAAAAAGCAAGCGGCGATGTCGAAGAGGACACTAAGACAGTCACTCCACAACCGGAACCTAAAATACCCGATGTGGAACTAATTGTTGACGGGTTTGGGTTGATGCCTAAATCAATGAAGGTACCCAAAAACCGCACTTCGAATGCCTTCGAAGAATCGAAGCAAATGTTAAAAGAAATAAAAGTTACGAATGAAGAAGCCAAAAGTCCCTGCTCCTCCAGTACTAACATTGAAGTGGTTAGACGGTACACTTGGAGAACGAAAAATAGGATGACTGTTCAGGTATGAATAGTTGAAAAATTAAATTTGTTAAGGACATAAGGCACTGTTAGTCAATATCTTGTAAATCTGTTAGGTTTATATGAGATATTAAAATTTGATTGTGTACATGTTAAATTCTATACATAAATATACAAGAAACATACTTACTACAAAAAATATACACTAACAACAACTCTCGCTGTTGTGAGAGTCTGTGATTTTTTTACAGAGTGCTCCGAAATATGCGTCCTGCATACACCGATCTGTATAATTTGTTTCAACAACACGGGTTGAATTGATTTTTGTTTCCGTATGTTTTTTTTTATTGCATTGATGGGTGGATGAGCTCACGACCCACCTAGTGTTAAGTGGTTATCGGAGCCCATCGACGTCTACTACGTAAATGCCGCCACCCACCTTGAGATATGAGTTCTAAGGTCTCAGTATAGTTACAACGGCTGCCCCACCCTTCAAACCGAAACGCATTAGTGTTTCACGGCAGAAATAGGCAGGGTGATGGTACCTACCCGTGCGGACTCACAAGAGGTCCTACCACCAGTAATTACGCAAATTATAATTTGCAATCTGTTAATCAAAAGTTGGGATTTACTTCCTAATTTTTTAGATAATATCGTATGGAGCCACCATCACCTCAATCCAGGTTCCTGACAAAAAAGGCGTTCCTGATGATGTGGTCGCAGGATTCGACACTTTAGAAGGTATTGTATTGTCATTCGGCAATTTAAATAACGTTCTAAGTTGAGTTCAGAATTCATTTTAACATTTACTAGCTGACTCAGCAGACTTCGTAGTGCCTCAATCGATAAATAAAATACCTAAACTTTTGTATTAAATAAATTTAAAACAAACAAAAGGAATCCGTCCGACGGGGGACACATCAAAGAAAGAACAAACTTGTTATTTTTATTTAATTCCGAGCATTTTCATATCTATCTACTTTTTAAACCTTCTCTGGACTTCCACAAATAATTCAAGACCAAAATTAGCCAGCCGTTCTCGAGTTTTAGCGAGACTAAAGAACAGCAATTCATTTTTATATATATAGATATAGATTAATCCTTCCAGAATATTTCCAACCACGAAACCCATATTTCGGAGCTACTATTGGGCGCTACGCAAACATAATTCGGGATGCCACAATGGTGGTGCGGCCTTCGGGAAGAATGTACATGCTGTCAAACAACAAAGGCCATCACCACTACCACGGAGGATATGTTGGATTCGATAAGGTAATTAAGTTATCAGAAGCTGTTTACTCTTCGTTTCAATTTGTTGATAAGTATGCAAGTGAATAAATGACATCTTGATGGAACTGATGTCATTTAAACACACAAACATAATGGTAATCTATACCTATGTATGTCCATGTGGTTATAATTCGTAATAAAAATGTGAATTCTGAGAATCAATTCTAAGGAATGTTGAAAGGAAACTATTTGTTGAATCGGCTAGCATGCAAGCTGTCAGCTTTCATGTTCATAGTATGCCAGAAACTTGCCACGAGTGCCAACGACGATTTTGGCGAACAAAAAGCGATAAGAATAATAATACTAAAATTTGATTAAATACAATTGGTTCCTTAACTCGCTGCTACCGATTGTTAATGTGTGACACTGAATTAATGGAGTTTTGCTTTCACTGATTTCGAAGTCGAAATTGTACTAAATAAAGTATTTAATATATCGTATAATTGGACTTCAGAGATGGGATTACTTATTAATATCATGGGTTTTTTTCAACCGATTAAAAAAAAAACACTTTTATTAGCTCGACCAGTTTTTTCTGTGAAGGAAGTTCTCAACGTATTATAATTTTTTACAACTTCTACAATTTATCTACTCGGATTAATTTGAAATTTTAAATTTAACGTAATATCTTAATCACAACTTCATCAGGCTATGTTCGAATTTAGCGAACTGGGCGACCCCATTTTTATTGGATTAAGTTCGTTTTGGTTAGTGTCAAGTGATAGTATGGGTTACAGAGGTTAAAGTTTCATTCTTGTAATTGTTGTTGAATCCTTTAAATCAGAACGCATTACCGCTTCGTTGTAAGAATAAAGAAGATGGCGGTAACTAGCCTTATTGGTGCAGAATACACAATGAAATACACAAATATATAATGTGGTTATATCATGCATTTTATTCGCTTACAAAAATTGGTAAGTGCCAGGGGATTTACATCTTGGCATAGAGAGTCACACGATGTGAGTACACGGGGCATCGTTTCTATTAGGCCACGGAACCTTCAAAGAATTGATTCAACGATTTTAATTTTTAGGTTAATTGGCATTCATATGTGAACGGGAATCAAGTGATAATGAGTCACGTGTCCGAGAGGTTTCACGAGGGATATCCGGGCACGGTGATGGCGCAAATCACATTCGAAGTAACCTGTGATAACACCCTTAAGATTGAGATGAAGTGCACGTCCAGCGAACCTACTATTGTTAACCTGAGCTGCACACCGTATTTCAATCTTGCTGGACATGTGAGTTTTAATTTAAAGTAGAACTAGATATATTTTTTATTGCTTGAATAGGTGGACGAGCCCACCTGGTGTTAAGTGGTTACTGGAGCCCATTGACATCTACAACGTAAATGCGCCATCTATCTTGAGATATAAGTTCTAAGGTCTCAAGTATAGTTACAACGGCTTCGTCACCCTTCAAACCGAAACGCATTACTGCTTCACGGCAGAAACAGGCGGGGTGGTGGTACCTACCCGCGCGGACTCACAAGAGGTTCTACCACCAGTAGTAGATATGTTTGACAAGTCGTCTCAAGGCATGAGGTCAAAGTTTAACGGTGTATTTGTGGTTTGTTATTTACCATCCTATGAGCGGTAATGAATGAGTAATGCGTTTCGGTTAGAAGGGTAGAGCAGCCGTTGTAGTATAAAAACTGGGACTTAGAACTCGTGTCTCAAGATGGATGACGGAATTAACATTGTTGGTGACTATCGGCTCTAGTAACGGCTTAACCCATCTTCTTATTCTTTTTTTATCAGTCCGGTTTGTTTTGATTCGAGTTTCAGTAATATAAAAAGTTTCAGGTATAGGTATAGATTATTAGTGCCCTAGGCTGTTGGCAGGGCTGCTACTTTGAAACGTACCGCCACACTTGATTTGTACCAGAGTTTTCTCTCCTCTCATGCATTTAGTGGTTATTTAGACACATCATCTAAAAAAATAATAATGGAAAAACCATCAATGATTGAATTTGTTTGTCACATTTTGGTGTTTAATATTTTCAGCACTCCGGTAACAATACAATGTACGACCACATATTTACCATCAATGCAGATAAATACACCGCTGCAGATGACGATGGAGTAGTAACAGGTAAGTTAGATTTATGTACACATCACATTATCTTACGTGTAGTTAATTGATCCTTACTTTATTAATAGTTTTTTGTCAATACAAAGTAAAGGTCTTTAAATTAAATAAAAGAGCGGACCGTTAGCGTGGTTTGGATATGTGATGCGTAGAGAGAAGATGCATGTGACTAGGAGATGTATGGAAATTGTAGTGCAAGGTAGAGGGGGAAGAGGTCGACTGAAGAAAACACGGATGGAATGTGTGAATTGACGATATGAGAGAGAGAGGCGAAGCAAAATTGGCTGTGTTCACTTCACCTAGTGGGATAAGGTGGAGAAAAAGAAGAAGAATGTAAAGGTCATTTGGTTTTTATTAATACCGGCCTGTTGGCTTAAAGCCCGTGACTAACTTCTCGTAATTTCGTATTTTTATAGGTGAAAAGAAAGTGGTTGGTGGTACTATATTCGACTTTAGAGTGCCCCGTGTTTTGAGGACAATGCTGCCTCGAGTAGCGATGGGCGGCTATGATATCAATTATTGCGTCACACAGGGAACAGCGCAAGATTTAACTTTTCATGCCAGGTCTGTATTTTGATCTCGTATCTCGTGGTTTCTTTTTGTTAGCTTGCTGGACGATATTACGGCTCAACTGGTGTTAATTTTACTGGTGGTAGGACCTCTTGTGAGTCCGCACGGGTAAGTACCACCACCCCGTTTATTTCTGCCGTGAAGCAGTTGTGCGTTTCGGTTTGAAGGGTGGGGCAGCGGTTGTAACTATACTGAGACCTTAGAACTCACTCATATAGGCTGGTGGTGGTATTTACGTTGTAAATGTCTAGGGAATAGTTTGGCTTCTCGTTGTAACTTACGACACTTGTCGCATGACTACGTTAAACAAATGAGGATTCTTCGTAAAGTGTTTGACACAATAGGATATTACCAGTTTTTAAATAAAGCTTTTTGTTGAATTCGGCATACTAGATAGACTTTGGATTCGAATGGTCATTAAGAACGCCAGCCAGATGGTCAGATCTGGTTAAGGAAGCGGTTGGTGGTAGTCTATACCTACCATGCGGTCCATGCCACTCATGATCGGACACTGTGGAGGAAAATGATATGTGGTCGCGATCCTTAGCAGTGAGGGAAAGAAGGTCACTAAGAAAAAGACCACGAGGTAGAGGCCTGACACGTTGGAGTCACCAGATCCGCACTACTCTCGACCGATAGCGCAGTCCACGATGCTCTACACTGGGCGGTAGATAGGAACAAATGACGTAGAGCTATCCACAATAAGCTTTTGTTCCGAGGAGGTAGTCACGACCCTCAGCATTGAGGAAATCGAAATGAATCGGAGAAGAGGTCACTAAGCAAAGTTACGAGATCCGTTCTGTCTTAAAATGTGCCATAATTTGGTTGACTCATTGCTCCTTCTAAAATATAAATAAAGAGGTATTTTAGAAGCACGGTTTAAGCGAAGAACACTCTACTTGTTCTCAGATAAGTCTGTCCTCAATTCGCCAAACGTTTTTTCTATTTTTACAGAGCCCTCCATCCAGTAACCGGAAGAGTTATGGAGTTGTACAGTAACCAACCTGGCTTGCAGTTCTATACCGGGAATCTTTTGCCGGATCCAGATAAAATAGTCGAGGTAGCTAACTAGTCTTATCGATTAAGCGTATAACTTTACTTATGGTAATCTATGTTCTTATCGGCTAAATCGGGCATATGAACTTATGACATTAGTATAGTAAATTGTTGCTATCGGAAACAAAACATTTGGAAAACTCTGAGAAAAGAATGACTGCAGAAGGTTGGTTGTATGCGTGATTTTGCAGAATAGTAGCAGGATAGCTATTTGTTTATTAAAGGAATTATGTAGGGAAATTATAAATATTAATCGGTTTTGATTTATAGCCTGGCAGATCATTACGATTTAGATACTCTAAGTCTCTAACTATTATATTTAAGGTCTGTTGCTCTGACACTGATAAATGATTCAATGACTAAGATAACACAAAAAATAATTCTGTAACAGTAGTTGTAAAGACAAAACAGCCTAGTACTATTTTCTCTTCTATTTGTTAAACTGCTTTCCTTTTTTTTGTTCAATACTACATCTACTGCCCGCCCTGTCGCTCACATACCTCAGGTGGTGACTAGCGCTTCCGCGCACACTATACTAAAAGGATAATCTCATATTTTTTCGTGTCTATACCTTGTGCTTGCATAATATTTTGTCACCTTATTATATCTGTATTAATAGATTATGGTCAAATTTAACAATCTGTATTTTTAAATATGACGGTAGACTCCAGTCAAGGCCGCCGAAGAGGAAGAGGCCGAGTCCACCAAGTCTGAGAGCGGTGACAGTACTGCCAGTGATAAATCGAGCGTGGCAGGTGAAGTCGTGAACGAAGAAGAAAGCGTGGAGGTGAATGAACTACGTATTTTTTTTAAATCTTATCTTTACTGATATATAAATCTACAGTGGTTTTTACGGATGTTCCGTTATAACTACTGAACCATGCATCCGATTGACTAGAAACTTGGTATCCATGCAAAAAATACATATACTTAATGGATAGGCTAATATTTATATGAGTGTTGGACTCCCTACACCAGTTGCGGGGGCGTTAATGATGAGAATCTTTGTGGGGGTGAGAAATAATAATGTTAATTTTAAATGCCCAGCGAAGCGGACGGGTACAGCTAGTTTATCTTTTATAAGAAGAGCTTTTTTGTTATAAAGTTACAAGGCACGACTAAATCTGGTTGGTCAGTAGATTGGTTACATTATTAATATTTATTTACATTTATAATGCTTTACAGAATTTAAAACGGAAGCTTGCACTAATTTTATTAACCATTAATTCTAGCCGCTTATAAATTGTATTTCATATAATTCAGCTTTTGATTCGATATAAATCCAATATAAAACTCAGAGAAGGTCGTATGAATATTATGATGTTATTTTTTTTAGAATAGTTTTTAAGATGCTAGTTGGGTATAAGTAGTTTTTTTTTCTAGATCGAAAGCGCACCGACTGTTCTGATGTTAAGGAGGTTATAGGTTATAGGTATAGGACATCATAGACAAAGCCTTTGAGCTTATCCGCCACCAAAACATCCAGTTTTGAGATAACGCGACGTGTATGAATTCGGACGTATTAGCGGGAAATTAAGATAGGCGAAAATTAAATTCTCTTTCGTATTAGAATATACTAGAGGTCCCGCAGTAGTCGAAATTCGACTATAATTAATTGGAATTGTAAGTTTGTACACTATTATGATTGTATTTTATACTTCTATAATCACAAATTTCGCCAAGATTACACTATAAAAAATATTAACAAAGACAAACAATATTTAGTCTATTCTCAATTTGACAACAGACGTCAAGAACAAAAGTTTGACAATAAATAGTATGCATGCGTGTGTGCATCAAATGCATGGTATGTAGTGTGTGTAATGTTTTCTTTATTGATTTAATGTATATTTTATGCATTATTTAAAAAAAATATTAGCATTGTGCACTTCTTCTCTATATTCTCTATAAGTTTGGAAAATTTCATACTCCTCCGTCCGCGCAATTTTCGTAAAAAGGGATACAAAGTTTTTGCTTCACGTATTAATATATAGATTTTTCCTGTCAATTTATTTGTATGTGTATATGTATTTATTTATTTGTTACAGGGCAAAACGAGTGTTGGTTACGTTCCACTGATGGGCAAACAAGGGACGTTTTACAAGAAACACGGTCTCTTCTGTTTAATGCCGCAAAACTATCCTGATGCTGTTAATCACGTAATTGAATATGATTTCATTCATCGCTCACAGGACGGCTGTTTGTAGCAAAAGCTGTTTTTTAATGACAACTTGAGCCAGCGCTCATCTAATATATAAAATTCTCGTGTCACAATGTTCGTTCCCATACTCCTCCGAAACCGCTTGACCGATTCTCATGAAATTTTTTATGCATATTCAGTAAGCCTGAGAATCGGCTACTATCTATTTTTCATACCCCTAAGTGATTAGGGTTGTCCACCCCTAACATATTTTTTTTATTTGGACTTTTTTTTTTGTTATAATGAGGTATTNAAAATTCTCGTGTCACAATGTTCGTTCCCATACTCCTCCGAAACCGCTTGACCGATTCTCATGAAATTTTTTATGCATATTCAGTAAGCCTGAGAATCGGCTACTATCTATTTTTCATACCCCTAAGTGATTAGGGTTGTCCACCCCTAACATATTTTTTTTATTTGGACTTTTTTTTTTGTTATAATGAGGTATTATGTGATTGAATGCGGTTTTGTTATTTTTATTATATATTCCCTCATCGTTCACAGCACTACATACCTCTTTCACTCATTTACCACATCTTTACACACTTACAATAAGTTAATTTTTTTTTCTACACTAGAAATCTTATATATGGCAAAACAATGTTTGCCGGGTCAGCTAGTTATTTATATAAAGTCGCCGTGGTCTAAAGGATAAGCCGCCCGGTGTACTCGTATTGGGCGATGTGACTGTTTCAGTATTCGAATACCACCGGCGGGTACTAATTATTCTAACCAGTGGTCATCCGGTAGTCGAAATTCGACTATAATTAACTGAATTAATTGAAATTATAAGTTTGAACATTATTAAGGTTCTATTTTCTACTTCTCTAGAATTCTAAAATCACCGATTTCGCCAAGAATACACTATAGACAAATAATAATAAAGACAAAGAATAATAATCGATTCTCAATTTTTACAAAAAGTTTGACAATAAACAAAAAGTAAACAAGTGTTGTGTCATATACATGTTAGTGTGTGTAATGTTTTTTTTTATTGATTTAATGTTTTCTTTATGCATAATAAAAAAAACAAAATCTGCACTCCTTCTCTATATTGTCTATAAGTGTGAGAAATTTCATACTCTTCCATGGGCGCAATTTATTAAAAAAGGGGTACAACGTTTTTGCTTCGCTTATTAATTTATATAGATAAATCACGTATTTTACACGTCTCTTCGAACGACTTCCACGATGAAGGAACAAAATCGTGTAATAAAAATGAAAGGCGGACAAATTTTAATTTAACTTACCATTAACATGCTTATTTATGCCGCTAATCAGCTTGGTATAAACGCTATCGCTCCCTTCGAACCGAAACGCATTACTGCTTCACGGCGGAAATAGGCGGGGTGGTGATACCTACCCGTGCGGACTCCCAAGAGGTCCTACCACCAGTGAAAAGTTCCAGTATATTGTCATATCGCCTCACTAATCTTGCTAACAATTCGTTTCTCATTTAGAAAAAAATGAGAACGCGTTGTGTCCCTTCAAGATACAGATAAAATTTAATAAAAAAAAAAAACATCTGTCATATCAATTCAGTAAAGTAGTGTTAGTTTGAGACCTGATAAAAGATTGAAAACAACAAATGGAACGCTAAATGTTGCCACTCGTCAAAGCATTATCTCAGCTTAGCTAAATTGAGTTTGTTTTCGTATTAATATTATGAAAGATTGATCAAACTTGAACTAAGTTTTGTTAATCTTTATTTTAAACCATGACTGATATTATGGGTCTAAGCATTTAAAAAAAGTCGACATTATTTCAATTTTATTTTTAAATTAATAACCGTTTTAGCTTATAAAACATTTTGTTAGATTTGTATTTAATTAGCGCTCAGTAAGCTTGCTCGCCATTGCCGGTCCCAAGCCCGGATGAGAAAAGAGGAGGGTTGAGTAGAGCTGGACATTCCTACCGTAAAACGTCAACGCCGAGCACTGGGTGGCGGGAAATAACCCAGCCCCCGGATCCAACCAGAGACCCGGAGCGGGACCAGTTGCCGTGAAGGACTAAATCCCTTCGAAATACTGATGTGGAAGGACGTGGGAACCCACCACAATTACATCCCAAGAGAGTCATGGACAGAGAAACATTTAAGCTGTTTCAAGGCCATGACCACGACCCTCAGTAATGAGGAAACCGACGCAAGGAGGAAGCTTGCTCGCAACGGCAACGAAACAAGCTCTCAACTCCCACTCATTTTCATACAACACTAATTTCTAAGTTTACGTAAGACTAATTTTATACAATCACGCGCTTGCGCTTACATTGATAGGATGATGTCATTCACAAAACAGACACTGCATACCAAGTACGTACAAACATAATCTGTTCAGTGGAAGCTCGATCACTGTATTCGAGTTATTAGTCTGGTAGTTATCAGCCACGAAAATATGACGGTAATTTGTCACACAAGAAAGTTAACACAATAAAAGTTTGAGTGTAAATGAAGCGAGAACAACACTAGATGACCATTATTTAAAAAACATTTTGGCGTATGTATGGGGTATACTAATAGCTAATTAGCCTTTTTTCATATAATTAGAATAAATACGATTGCGTGCCTTTGAGATTCTTTCGCATAGTAAACAAATATTTTAAAACCTTATTATTTGAGATGTGCAGTAAAGTAATGTGTCTAATATGTTGAAAATAAACCGTTTAAACCTGTTGGGAATAGGAAAATTGTATTAAAACTTAGACAAATTTTATCCCTTGCGTTCAAGTGCTTAAATTAGTGTTTTTTGTTAATAAAGTACTTTTGAATTTTTCAGACCAACTTTCCGAATTCGGTGCTCAACCCTGGAGAAGTTTACGTTCACCGAATACAATATAAGTTTGGTATTCTACTCGGAAGATATATTTGAAATACGTATCACATTTTGGTATAAAATTGAAATGAGTTTTTTTGTATGAATCAAGACAATCATTTTACACGCGCTCTTACTGTGAATTTCGATGGTTTTAATTGCTATTTTATTTTATTCGGGTTTATAATTTGGAGATTGTTATGTACGTTGAAAAATAAAATTTTAATTACATGTCTAGATTGTTTTTTTTTTGTAATAAAACATATATTATTAACATTGAAATGTTGCGATCTTACGAAATAAAAAAAAACATTTTAATAAACATAGACAGAGGGTCGTTCTATCGTACTGGACATTTGAAATGTAATGAGTATATATTATCTATGGTGTGTACCCTCAAGAACTGTCGATATAAGGATAGAGAAGCTCGTAAATCTCCAAGCAGGTTTTACTGGTGGTAGGACCTTTGTGAGTCCGCACGGGTAGGTACCACCACCCTGCCTATTTCTGCCGTGAAGCAATAATGCGTTTCGGTTTGAAGGGTGGGGCAGCCGTTATAACTATACTGAGACTTTAGGACTTATATCTCAAGGTGGGTGGCGCATTTACGTTTTAGATGTCTATGGGCTCCAGTAACCACTTAACACCAGGTGGACTGTGAGCTCGTCCACCCATCTAAGCAATAAAAAATAAAAAAGGTTTGGTCAATCGTTCATAACAGACGTAAAACGTAGAACACATCTCCAACCTCCAAGATCTAGGTTTTGGAAGGTCTCCGTCATGTACTGTACTCTCCTACACTTTTATTTGTCCAATTTGCTCGGCCTTGAGCTGTTGTTCGTTCGCTACGTAAAACCTTCGTTCGTTTTTCAGTTATGTATTAATTTTTTACTAGTGTGCCCCTGGTAGTCGAAATTCGACTATAATTAATGGAAATTTTATGTTTAAGCTGATTATGATTCTATTGTCAAAGACCATTTTATTTTTATAATCACAGATTTCGCCAAGACTTCACTTTAGACAAATATTAATAAAGACAAACAATATTAATCTATTGTCAATTTGACCACATACTTTAAACAATAAGATAAGTTTGACAATAAACAAATATACATGCGTGTGTGTGTCGAATACATGGTAGTGTGTGTAATGTTTTTTTTTATTGATGTATTTTTTATGCATAATTTAAGAAAATATTAACATTCTGCACTCCTTCTTTATATTCTCTATAAGTGTGGGAAATTTCATACTCCACCGTTCGTGCAATTTTCGTAAAAAGGGATACAAAGTTTTTGCTTCCCGTATTAATATGTAGATTACATCGGTTAACGATCTTTACCTATCTCACCGGTTGTTAATTTGCTATCGGAGCCAATAGACATCATGCTGTAAATCTCGCTACCGACCTTGAGACAAGATGTTGTAGTATCAATTGCTTGATGACGACTCGTCCGGTAACGCTGATTTTTTTTCCTACCTAATCTGATAGCCTTGAGAGGCTATGTTAACGTAAACGGGCGAGTAGGTGAGTTCACGGGGCTCAAACTGGGAGTGCTGCTAACACTGGCCCTAGCAAGAGCAGTGCTTCGCAGAATCTACCGCCGGATCGGAAACGCAACCCACTGAGAAGATACGGCGAGAAATTCAGTGGGCTGTGTCTATGGGTTAATTCACTCGTCGAGCCCTTCGGCGATGGTTACCAGGATGGTGGCCTGTGCTTGTGGTACCTAAAAGCACCGTTAATGGATCGTAAGTAATAACATAATCGGGGGACAACAGTAGCTGATTGTGAATTTTACAGGAATCAAAACATGAAAATATATTTTATTGATAAATCAACAGGAGACCCGGATTCGCCGGATATGTAATATTATGAATATTAATATCGTAAAATAAATTTAAATACTGCAATTTAATTTTTCTTCAGACAATCCTTAGGGCCGAGGTAAAAAAAAGTACTTAAAAAATGGACTAGATGGCAGCACATACATTTAGTGTAGGCCAGTTTCGTTTTATTAATATTTTTTTAATTGCTTACCTACTAATAGTTCTAGTAACTTAATTGATCGTATTAACCTCATAAACATGAATATCATGTAAAAATATGCAATCAAAATCAATTTCAGAGGAAATGTGCGGATACGCCTTCCCGTCAAGTTCTAATTTCTGTTACCGCATTTCCTTATTTCATCCTTATTAACTGTATCGTTTCTTTAATTACCTTTTTCTCTCCAGTCCTTTTTCCCTCCAGAAGCCCAGGTTTAACCCAGACCTTTACTATCACCCCTTTTCAACCACGAACAATTCATTCGTTTCGTAGATGTGACTGACGGCTCTACAATCGTTGTTTCAAGGTCTGATAATCCCAAAGTCACAGCTTTCGGGCTCGGGTAAATACTTGACGTTGATTCGTCTGCGCATTAGACGGTCCAGCTTCTGCAGCAAAGAATACATCAAGGAAGAACATAAACGCTTAAAATCATGAGCTTCATTTTTTCATTCCATTTATAAGCTTAATACAGAATATATAAGGATATTGAAAAATAATAATCTGCAATTCTTGCAAATTTAGATAATGTACACACATGACATCTTTTTTTAATTTTTTTATTGACATTGTAGGCAGACAAGCATACGGCCCACCTGATGGTGAGTGGTCACTGTCGCTCATGGAAGTCAGCAATGCGAGAGGCAGAGCCAAGCCGCTGCCTACCGCTTTTCTTTAAACGAGGCTTGTGGAGAGCACTTAACGGTAGGCATCGACTTGGCTCATTGTTGACGTCCATGGGCGATGGTAACCACTCGCCATGAGGTGGGCCGTAGGCTCGTCTGCCTACAAGGGCAATAAAAAAAATTGACACTGGCTCATAACGCGAATTGGTCAATTAAACGACGTATGGTAAAACCAGAAAAAAAAACGCGAAATTGTAAAGTATTACTGCGAAACAATTGAATTTTTTTATTTATTCTACGTAAAAACTCCGGATTTATTTTAATACTTTTAGACTGGAAGCTGTGGTAAGATTAGTACCTTCATATTTAACTAGATGGCAGAACAATATGCGCTTGCAGGTTCCCCGTAAAGTGTTACTTGCAGAAACAGTGTTGAAGAGAAAAACTATCTTTTCTATATTATATATATTATTATTTAGTGATTATTATATTATAATCTATAATATAATAATCACTACAAAGTATAAAACAAAGTCGCTTTCTCTGTCCCTATATCCCTATGTATGCTTAAATCTTTAAAACTACGCAACGGATTTTGATGCGGTTTTTTTATTACTGGTGGTAGGACCTCTTGTGAGTCCGCGCGGGTGGGTACCACCGCCCTGCCTATTTCTGCCGTGAAGCAGTAATGCGTTTCAGTTTGAAGGGTGGGGCAGCCGTTGTAACTATACTTGAGACCTTAGAACTTATATCTCAAGGTGGGTGGCGCATTTACGTTGTAGATGTCTATGGGCTCCGGTAACCACTTAACACCAGGTGGGCTGTGAGCTCGTCCACCCACCTAAGCAATAAAAAAAAATAAAAAAATATTAGAGTGATTGAAGAGGAAGGTTTATATGTATAATAACATCCATTAAGTAGTGGAGAAATACTGTTATCAATAATAAATTACAGTTGCCTAAGCGAAGCGAGGGCGGATCGCTATTTATATAATAATCTATAATATAATAATCTATAATATAATTTAAAAAAACGTGTGGCACTCAGGAACTGCCGCGGTAAAGCTATTGCATAGCATTTTTTATCAAGCATTCTGGCTTGAACAGTGCGACAGCCGTTTTTCAAGATAACTGAGACCATAACCTCATATGCAAAGGCTCCCAGTGAACACTTAACTCTAAATAGGCCGTGAAGTCGTTCACATCACTACGTAACTAAAAAAAATGAAGCAGCTATTATAAAAAACATTATTAAGTGGTTACTGGAGCCTATAGATATCCATAGCGTAAATTCTACAAACTGCCTTGAGATATGAGTTCTGGGTTTCAATTTTACAGTTGCCCCACCCTTCAAACAGGAACGCGTTACTGCTGCGCGGCAGAAATAGGTAAGGTGTTGGTATCTAACCGTACGGGCTCCCAAGACGCCCTACCAGCAATAATTATGTAAATCATAGGTTAGTTTATAGGTTATATATTTATAGGTTGTAGGTTAGACTTTACATTCTATTCATCGTAACAAGCGAACAAGATAAGCTACATTTCCTCAACTTGAGCATTCACTTGCCACGAGACGTTGTAATTCGAAAAACGAAAAAAAAAATCTATAAAATAATTCTTTATACCAGAACCGTAACGTTGGAAGTGGCACTTTGTAATCACACAAAGATCAACTTCACAACAATAGCGAATAAAGCTATGTTTCATTCAAGTTTATTTCGAACATTTCACTAACTATTCTAGCCATTATTTTAGGTATCTTGACAAACTTCATAATCGATTCTGAGTTTTCGAATGATTCGCTTTTGATGTCTTCTCCCTAGTTTTAAGTGAAATGTATTTATTTCTAAAAGGAAAAATACTCAGTATAATTCAACTCAAGACGACTTGTATCTCGTCATTCATTACTGCTATTATCGCTGTATAAGGCGACCTACGACCGCCATGATCGATACTGGTTACCGTCGGACATCGATTGTCATGAGTATCATCGTGGGTAGAGCCACGGTCAAGCCACTCCCTACCCCTAAGTAGATGAATGCACTGATCACAGGTCGCAGGTTTCAACCCTTGTAGTATTTATCATTAGTACTTGTAGTTCGATTATAATATAATGTATTGTATTATGGCATAGTTGTATATGACCATGACCAAATTAACTAACTATAAAATGAATGAGCTGTTCGTCTGAATACTTCAATTAAATATGCGTCAGGGCCTCTTGAACTATAATAAGATAATTTTCGTTCACGGCAAAGGCATCTTAAAAAACATGCACCAACCGATCGTAATCTCTAAATACAATCACGTTTTTAAAAAGAAAGCAATTAAACTTGCATGTAAGACACTAAGCCCTTTCAGTAAAATATTTCAAAACAAAAATAACGAAAGAAACAGCTTCTGTTGCTCAGATATCTAATTGACTCGATATCTTAAGAGTGTCTTATTTGTTCCTCACAGCCTTTCAAATTAAAATTATCTTCAACGTGAACTTTGTGGGTTATCAAAAAAAAACATTGTGCTATAAAAATTGCAGAACAAACT